TGCTGAATGTCTGTTATGCAATTGATAGACTGCAATGACAGTTGCAAATGTCCTCAAAAAGGGGCTTTGGGATACCTGGCCTTTGTAATCTGACTCATAAATTATCAGGCAACCAGGAGAGTTTGACTCCTCACTCCTTAGTATACAGGAAGCGGTTATGAACTAGAGTAATGTTGCAGGGGCAGACTGGCAGTGCTTGGTCCGTCCATGGGCTGGATCCAGCCAGTGCTCCTGGGTGGGCACAGTGGGCATCATCTAGCCGTGTGGAGGGGGGCAGGGGAGGGAGACAGGGCCCCAACCCAGCCCCATGGGGAGAAGGTGCATAGCCCAGCCCGAGCAAGAGGGAAGTGGGCATGGCTAAACCCTGTGGAGAGAGGGGGCATGGCTAAGCCCCAACCCAGACCAACAGAGAAGGACTGGGGCATGGCCTGACCTAACCTGCCCTGTGGGGAAGGAAGGGGGCAATAATCTGGCCCCAGTCACAAGTTGGGGATGGTGGAGAGGGTGGCAGAAGGAGGGGACACAGCCCATCTTGGGATTTGGGAATTTGGCAAGGGAGTGTGGGCATATTAATGGCCACAGCTCCTCTGCCTCCATATTTTTGACCCATGGGGAGCCCTGTAGGCCAGATGGCTCTGTGCATCACATCTGGCCCGCAGGTCAGAGGCTGAGCACTCCTGAACTAGAGTATATGATGGTCAAATAAATCCTAATTCCATAAATGGGAATGGAAATGGAAATGTACTCAGAGTACCCAGAGCCCACAAGGAGACTTTGCATGAGAAAGGATCATTTTCCCATATGGGGTAAACCTGTAAATGCTAAATCTAGGTAGAGAGTTGAAAAGTCAGCTTGCAGAATTTTAAAAGCTGATTATGTTTGGACCCAGAGATTAACAACCAGAAAAGCTGTCTTCACATCGATTCACTGCGTTTAGTGCAGTTTCCTAATATTAATCCATAAAATGGCCAAATCCAAAGAAACAGATTTTTGTTTAAAGCCCCCCAAAACGTAAACCCTGGCATTCCCTTAACTTGTCAAAGGGCCAGGTCAAAGGTCACTGGCCAATTCTTTATCAATTTTCAAGATAAGCAGTTTCTTAAATAATGTAAGTTTTTTGTTCTTGAAAATCGCATGCTTTATCAGCCAATTTCAAAGGTTGTGTGTCAAATGTTTCGTATACTTTGATTTCTTTGAACAAACAAACTCTGAAGGACACAGAGAACATCAGCTAATACAAAAATGTTCCAAAGAGCTGTTTGAAATGCTACAGTTTTTGAAATGCTACAGTAATGAAACTTGTTACTCAACTTAATCAAATTTTTCAGACACATTATAGTTCTCCTTTTGATTAAAGCATGAGGATTTGTTCTCCACCCTTCTCACTAGAAGAGGAATTTGTCTTCTTATTGGATCACGGTTGCAACTGCAACTTTGGGAGACCTCCCCATGAGTCATGTATATTTACTGATCCAGGGCAAGAAACCTGTCCTCAAAGTTGCAAAATGACAGAATGCTACCACTTGAACTCAGTGAAGCTGTTGGTTAGCTGGCAGCAACAAAAAGAAGCATATGTTCCTGCTATGTGCCAACCAGCCAGTAATGCAAATTATCCTGGTCTTTCAGCTTCAAACCCACATATTTGTCCAACTCATGAATCTGTAATAATTATATGTCCCTTTATTCTCTCAGGGACACATCCAATAGCATGCAATATCACACATTCCTACTCACAGTGCCAGTGATACATTATTACAAAAATTTACATACCCCTTCCCAAAAATAGCTCACAGTGACAACATGGACTCAAGTGAGATTTTTTTTTTTATGTTTGCATGGCTTCAATTAGGCAAAGAACACCTTCTCGCTCATTTCTGTTGAATTCAGGAAATTCAGGGACATGTAGAAAGTACAAGCAGAAACTAATATGTCAATACAAAAACTTTTTTATTCTTTTCAATTTTAGTTCAAGGGATGCACATATATCTTTACTATAGGCATGTACATATTTCAAATAGCTGTAGGTCCCTCTTATTTGGTCTAACGAGAATGGTTCACAAGTTAGATATTGGATTAATAGTCCTTTAATATTCAGCCTGCTTTATGGGACTATTGGATCAAGCTCATCTGAAAGCTACTTATCTACTATGAATACAAATCTCACAAAGGAAAATCAAACTGGCTGGGCATTTAATCAAGCTTCTCAAAACTGTTTAAATTTTCATTCACAGTTAACCATTCAACCTTAAGTCCCTACTTTCAATTAAACCATGTCCTAAGCTTGTTAATATGCCATATTCAGAGTTACTAAACTAATAATACAGCAGCTATGGAGACCTCCTAGGAATCCTTCCTGTCACTCACAACATCACTGGAGGAAAGATGCTTCAGAGATGGATTATTTGAAAAATGCCAGAAAATGCCAGATTAAAAGAATCATGAATTGACTTTTTATGCTCAACCTAGAATGGCAATCAGTTTTAAAACTGAATACAGGACAAAGCCGGTATCATTTCTAGAAGTGTCCAGAAAATAGATCTTTCTTCTTGGAAAATCATGTTCTTGAAAAACACCTTGCCCCAAATTCAGATGAAAAGTCAAAAACATGTATTTTGTCCTCAGGAAATGATTTCCAGAATTTCTTATTTCCACCCCTCCCCTCTCACAAGAGAACTGAAACAGACATTTAGGCCTTCAGGGGAAAGATATTAAATTGTCAATAGTCTTACAGTCTTCGGGCTGTGATTACTGGAAAGGCAAAAAGCAGTCTCCTTGCTTTCTCCCTGCTTGACACCTAGAATTGAGTGGAAAGTTGTAAGGCTGACAGTTGGAGAATTCAGTCTCCAGAAAGCCCACCCTGGAGCTGTCAATTTGATTTTCCAGATTGGAAAAAAAAATATCCAGCAAAAAGGCATTGATTTTGACAGAAAATGCCCAAACTTCTCTACTCTTATTTTCCAAAGAGCAGCAATCCTTAGAGAATGTTGAAATATTTCATCTTTATTCTATTTGATGCAAAGCCTTATGGAATAAAGCTATTATTTTGGAACACCTGCAATTTTTATGGGAGGACAGGACAGGAACTATTGTATTCCCTGCATGACACTCTGCCCTATGCATGACTCAGCTTGGTCAAGCTAATATCAAAGGCATATAAAGATAATGATTTTAAGATCTGGTCATGAGTTTCCCCCTATATGAAGCCTGAATGAATGTTACTAATTATTGTGCTATACCGTGCAGAATAAATGTAGGAAGAAGGTGCCTGAAGTATGGATGGGGACACAGAAGTAGTATACTCCAGCTATTCTGCTGCCAACAGCCTCCAGGACATAGGAGTAAGGACCCAGGATTGGAAGGGGTGTCGCCATGCCTTGCCTTCACAGATACCCATTTATCGAAATCCTAAAAATTGCCAAAATCCTAAAAATTGTCCAGCTCCCCACAGGCATCACAGCTATGAGAACAAGCCAAAACCAAAAAAAACCAAACCCAACCTAAAAACCATACCATGTGTCATAAGTACAAAGAGGAGGAGGCAAGAGCACCATGGCTAAGTACAGATAGGCTAAAAGCCTGAGGCTGAATCAATTCAGTCTTTGCAGGTTTGTCTAAGCTGTGTACATTGAACCTATAAGCAAGTGAGCAGACATCCACTTTTGATTCCTGAAATTGTAGCCACATGCCTGCAGTGGCCCAGACCAGAAGCCAAGGGTACTCGAGCATACCACCCAGCTAGGCTGGAGCAGACAGCTTAGGCCAAGACTAGCCTGCCCACCGTGCAAGGGGGACTTGCCAGGGAGGTGCAAAGCATCCTGGGATGCTGGGAGATTGCAAGTTAACTTGAATCTGGAGAGGTTTCACATGCATCATTGACACATGCATCATTCATATCATGACACATGCATCATTCATAGCATCACTGTAACCTAAATCAGTTAAGTCTGATACTCCATCCATACAGGTTTACCTGCACTGAACTTCTGTTGTGCTACAGAACTGAACTGGTTTTTGATCACTTATACCACTTTATGTGTAATTTCTACCCCTAGCCTACCAGTGCTTGATCACTGTGATAGCAGAGAAGCATTTAGATTAAAATAAAAGGAAAAACAGCCCTAGACTGGGAAGTGGTTTGGGGTATCCAGATTTGTCTCTTCTACTCCCATTCTAAGGGCAACTTAGCTGAAACAAAGATTGAAGCACAATGATCACTTCTGTCACTACTGAAATGTAGTCAATTGCTCTGATACGGAAGCTCTAACAGCACTCAGAAACACCGCACAACACATTAGAACAAGGGGTGGTAGATAATATATATAGGTGATTGCAATTAATATCAAACAAGTACCTGACACTGAGCTGGTTCACTAGATAGCCTAGTAAGGACAGGACTCCTGAGGTTGGATATAATTGGTGTTGTATTTGTCAGCAGTGAGCCACCAAAATAAATGAATGATCCTGAAAAATAAAATTACAGAAATATTTAAAACAATCTGACCCCCAATGGTGAACATTTACCTGAGAGGATCAGTCATTCCTTTATAAGGTATATTGACCTCTGTTGGAACAGGCAACCCAGAGAGGCTGTGAAGTCTTCACCCCTGGTAATTATCAAGAGCAGGTTGGATGGATGCTTGGCTGGGTTGGTTTAGCTGGAAATGAACCTGCCTTAAAGTGGGGGCTGGACTAGATGATCTTGTGAGGTCACTTCCAGCCCTACTTCCCTATGATCCCATGACCCCATTAATTTACTTTTAAGAAGTGCCCTGGAGCTAACAGAGGAAGTGTTGAAATAACCTGTGTCTGCACCTATATATGTTTGCAAAGACAAAGGAGGAGGATGTTGCACATTATTCTTTCCACATCCAAGACTCCTACATGGAAGGCCCAGAACAGGAGGATGGGAAGCCAGGATGGAAAGCAGGAAAAAAAAACCCAAAACAAAAAAATGACAAACCGGCGGCTGCAGTAGAGCTCTGCATTCCAAAAATGATGTGGTTAGTCATATCACCATTAAGCCTTTCCTGCCATAGTGCTAGCAAGCGTTAAAAAAAAAAAAAATCTACCTGCGAGGGAGCAAACATGGTGCCTCTAAAACTTAAATACTGCTTCTGAATAGTCTGTAGCTTTGCTCCAAAGGCATTTGCCTTCCCATATCTGCCCTCCTCCAGTAGAAAAACTTTACATTTCTGTCTTTTAAACAAGTACAATTAGCCCTTCCCCCTACATTCTACTTTATTCCAGTGCCTACAGGTGCCTGAAAAAATGGAAATGTATGAGAAGTTGCACAGAGCACCTGAGAAATCAAAATTTTGTAGACCTCAGCTGGGATCCCTAAAAGACACATTTTAATTGGTTTAAATAGTGTTATAAGTAGTGTTTAGAATCACAATTAAGCTCCTATTAGGTACACTATTCAACTTATCAAATTCTCAGGGAAGCCTAGAAGTTTTTAAGCATGCTAACAATGTTGCAAACCACAGGAGCCAGTGAAATAAGCTATAATTTTCTCAGGGGGTCCACAGGCTTGACATTGTTGTCTGTGCTAGTGGGGATGAAAGCTTAATTAAAGATTTAATCTGAACTCTGGCAAACTAACTGCCTTTGGACTTGAGCTGCAGCAGATGTGCTCAAGACAAAGGTAGAGGAGGATAAACATCTTCAAGGGTCCCTAAAGCAGCACATTTTAGCTGCCACCAGTGCTGCTCTCATTGAATACTGAAACATTCTTTATGAAAGTCTATGCAAAGTAAGGGCTCAGTCTCACACACTGATATCATACTGATGGCTTTGCATCTTGAAAATCAGCTACTGTGCTGGCTCAGTTATGCACATTAGTGGGGTTTTCCCCTCCCCATGGATGAACAACACAGAGCAGTGGGGTGGATTCAGCCCTAAGTGAATATTTACATATACAGATGGAGTGACCCTGGCTTTCACAGAGCGGTCAGTTGTTTTTCCTACACAACCAAGGCAGGCTGGATATTCTATAGGTCAGGGAAGCCTCTCTCACCAGAAGGGATGCAACATTTTCACTGTACTTCATAAGATACAGCTTTATAGTTAGTTAGTAGCTGAAGCTCCACAGGAGCCCTGCCAGTGTTGATTGTTGAGGATGTTTTATGCAGATCCAGTGTTTCAAACTGTTCTTCTACTGACCCACAGCCTTTCACTGTATGCTGTACTCCTATTATCTCTTGTTAGTATATTCACTGAAATGGGAGACACCCACTGCCCATATAATGTTGGCAGGAGCTGGCATAAACCAAGGGTGAACCCTGCTGA